TCGACTCATTCAAAGCGTTTTTCTAGTGAATCAATGCGACAACAACTTGAAGAGGAGCAGAAGACTTACGGAGATGTTGCGATAATAGAGAATTTGGAGGAGACGTATTCGAATCTGGCTCTCAAGACGTTGAGAACAATGGAGTACGCTTATCCAAAACTTCCGTTTCCAGTATATCCTGAAAGTTTGTTCCTCTTCTTAGCGTTTCAAAAGATGCCAAATTTGTGCAAGGTCTACTTTTTCCAGGTGGACTCGGACTCCTTCGTACGTTTAGGAGCTTTTATCAAATCACTGAAGGATATTCAGCATCCTCGTTTATATTGGGGATTCCTCGACGGCAGAGCAAAACCATTTCGAAAAGGCAAATGGCGTGAAGCCGACTGGATGCTCTGCGATCGTTACCTGCCATATCAAGTAAGGATTTCTTTTGATCTTCCCAGTCGGGGGAGTGATGATAGGTGGCAGTTGATTCAGATAAAGACATATTCATTGAAAGAAGAATCCTTGGAGTATTGGGGAAATGTGTTGATCAAATCTGAGAGTTTTGAAATCTTTCACATCATTTAGAGGGGGAAGAGAATTAGGCTTACAGGAGGCATGGAGATGAAATGATAGGTAAGTTGTAGGATATAAGGAATGAACATTTCGGTTTCAAGCAATTTCTTGGGGATGTGTGTGGTTTTGGTTTGCATTCGATGTTCAATATACATTTGAGGCCTCATCCTCATTATCGAATTTGGAATAATTTCTGTTGAAGAAGGAGGGATTGACTTCCTGAGGAGTGAGCTAGGATTTGCCAGTGATTTGCGGAGTGTGCCAGGAACTCTCCTGTTTCGAGTCCATCTGGTTTCTAAATCATTTTTGTTTTGTTTGGAAGACTGACTTATATGCTTACTTTCTTATGACAGAGCGGTCGGTATGGTATAGCAGCCGGTACGTAGAATCATAAAGACTGCTCATAATTACTCAATTCAGCTCGGCGGTGGATACGCTCTCTCATATGAACTTGCGCGCTACCTTGCGCTCAACGCTCGACTATTCAAGATGTACAAAAATGAAGATGTTTCGGTTGGAGCATGGCTGGCCGGTAAATTTGTTGTGTCTTGTGTTTCTTTTTATTCGCAATCAGATTTCTTGTTGCCTTCTAGGTCTAAACGTCAAATACGTTCACGATCCCCGGTTTGACACGGAATGGATATCAAGAGGGTGTAATAACGAGTATCTCATAACACATAAGAAGTCTCCTGCCGATATTCAGAAACTGTACAATAATATGGTGAGTTATGCAGCTTTTCTCCTATTTCAACCTCTGCATGGGGAAAGGTGACGTTGATTATTTTCGTGTGAGGGTGTTATGGTGAAGTTATTTAGTCAACCTAGAGTTGGACCGAATCGTCTTTTTAGGCCACGGTTCCACCGTTCTAGCTAGTAGTCCTTTGTCACTAGTCTATTAGTTGTTTCCAGCGAAGATGAAAATTCCTTTTCTTTTCAACTGCTTAACACCCCTTTTCGGCACCATTGCCCTCAAACAGGAATTTGTCCGCCTTCAACAAAGATAATTGTCGAGAAAAGCCGGCTTATTTAATTAAAACGTCCCCATAAAGCTTGCTAAGGTTTAAGACCTCCAACAACGCTACAATACATATCATTCTCGCTTATTTTTTCCACATGCAAAGAAGTAAATTCCAGGGGCCTGGAGGTAGTCCTCAACAACTGTCCTTTTCTCAGCAAATATAATAATCTGCTCTTGTTATTATCCCGAGGATCCCAAATGTTTATCATTTGTTCTTGTTTTTAGCTCAATCATCGTGTTTTGTGTGAGAAAGAATATCGCACACGTTATTCGTATGTTTATGACTGGACAGCACTACCGAGTCAATGCTGTCAGCGATTAAACGGAACGAATATACCGTAGTAGGATGTTTTCTCGTTCACCGATTAATTGGCTCACAAGTTCCGACTTTCGATTCATTTTGAAGATGTGGAGAAGATTGGAGGCAAAGTTTCCGTCCATATGCTTCATTATGTGATTATTGCGACTGTTTATTCTTTCCAGCGTATTTGTACCTGCATTAGTTTCACACAGTACATTTTCGTCTATTCATTCGAGCCGAAGGTTGTCTGGTCGAAGTCTTTCCAGTGACGACGTTTCTCCATCTGTCGAGATACGCAACTATTGAAGTATTTAAAGGCGCATGCAACGACTACTTGAGGTCGGAAAACTTTAGCTCGAGAAAGGAAACTTCCCCGCAAGCGCACTTGGCCGTCAATTTCTCATGGCAGCGCTGTTGGAGCTCGTTCGAGAGGTGGATCACGGCCTCGCTAACGTTACCCAGACCGCAACCCTACCTTGGATTTGAATTCATGGGCACTATCTGCGTCTCTCATCTCTGAGGGCTTTCCTATGCCCCATATGTGCTCCCTCTAGTTCCTGCGCCCATGTCTTCGCCGTAACACGGTGCAATGCTCTGAATAAAGTGCAAAATAGTGGACTATTGTGTTTCCGATCGTTTGTTGCGCCTTTTCTCTAGCGGTATGCCGCATGGCACCTAGGATTTTCTTCTCAATTCTTGCTCACCACATTCTGCCACGCAATGTGTTTTTACTGTGCGGTTGCATCAACGCAATAGAAAACCGTTATTTCTCCTGATACTTGCACTAGTTACTATTCTTTAGATCACTATTGTGGGTTACGATTTACCCACCGCTTTTCCCAAGAGGCCAGAAATCATGGGCATTCCAAAAAAAGTCTATGAAGGCAGTTCTGTGAAGCCTTGTCTTGGCTTTGTCCGGGTGGAATCAGTATAGTAGGTGATGCCGCTTACCCCACGCGGTTTCCATAGATCCAAATCTGGATATTCTCTACCCCGACCAACCGCGCATTCCTTCCATCCGGGTA